GAAAAGCCCAGAAGTGGGCTTTTTTGGCTTTTTTGAAGACTTGCATAGGAGGCCGTTGTGGCTGGAGGACAGAGCGAGGAGACAGTGCTGGAGGAGCTGCAGGCTAGACCGGCGCCAGCCGGGGTGGGGCCTCACAGACCTCTGCAAGGACTTGGCATTTTACGTTTTGAAAAGGAGACTTTTGTTGTTAGGACAGGAGGGTTATCCTCGAGGATGGTGGACAGGAAGATGTGGGGGAAGTAAATCTTCAGACAGTGAGGAAGGAGTGCTGTGACTGGCTCATTGTGTGATGGGAGGGCCCATGAGTGTTTTTACCTTGTGGCCATTTGTTTATTTAGTGATATATGACACAATATTTGGAGGATTTAGTGACAGCCATTGGTGATTGTGAGGGAAAGGCACCAGGTCCAGATTTTGAGGAGAAAGAGGGGGTCCCCGCCAGAGACCCTGAGTTTCCCTGGGCTCTAATCTGATCACCATGAGACTTCCTTCCACCTCAGCTAGGGCAGGAGTACAGATCAGATCTCAGGGGCAGGGGTCAGGGAGAGAGAAATGAGGTAAGAGCAGAGAACTCAGTGGTCAGGATGAGTAGTCTCAGTGGTGTAGAGCCCAGGCAGCAGAACTGAGGAAGTCAGGGAGGGGAGGATTGGTTAGGATTTTGCTGGCGGAAGTGATAAGGACTAGAGAGTAGCCATGCAAGCCAGGCACCCCTGCATGGGCAGGGCCAGGAGAACAGGGAAAGCCTGAGAGCCGAGTTCTGAAGAGTATGGTGGCAGGTCAGGGATACCTGCAGTGGAGAAGGAGCCTCTAGGGTAGAGCTCAGTGGTAGAGCACTCACCTAGCATGCACAAGGCCCTGGGTTCAAGGCTCAGCACCACCAAAACCAAAACTGTGGTTTTGCCCTTCCTCTTCAGCCTTCACCAACTTTGCTTCCAACTCTCCAGACAGGTGTGTGTGTGCGACTTGGATTGTGGTTCTGTGTGTGGCTTTCTCTCCTACTGCAGGAGATGGGCTCCATCCACCCAGTTCCTGTTTTGTTCATGTCATGGAGTCTTCCAGAGAGGCCCATCCATCTGTGATGTATTCACGGCACGAATACAGCAAACTTCGCTTCATCAGGACCAGTGTTATTGTTATTGTTATTGCTTTTGTCTGACTTTTAAAAGACAAGATCTCAGGTGGCCGAGGCTGACTTCAGTCTAGGCTGGCCTTGACCTGCTGATCCTCTTGCCTCTATCTATGAGGTTCTGAAATTACAGGTGTTGTATCTGACCAGTCTCCTCCCCATGCCCAGAGAATTCTCAGGAATGACACTTACTGACTAGGGCAAATTGTATAAAAATTGCAGGGTAAAAATAATCTAGTTTTCTGTGAACTTAAAAATTTACAGCCAATTTTGAAAGAGATGCATTTTTGCTCTGGAAATTGTTATTGAATATGTTAATGCTGTGATGAAATGCTTTTTCTAATCATGTGGTTATTAAAAATAATTTTTTAAAAATCTAGTTTTTGTATTTCCAAATTTACTTATTGTCTTAGTTTTTCTTTTGTTTTTGATACTTTATGTTGTTTTTGAGGCAGGTTATTGCTATGTAGCCTAGGCCAGCCTTTAATTCATGGTGTTCCTCCTACTTCAACCTCCTGAGTGTTGGGATTATAGGCTTAAGCTACCACATTTTTTTTTTTAAGGTAATGTCACGTGTAGCCCTGGCTGGCCTAGAACTTGCTACGTAGCTGAGGCTAGCCTTGATTGACCTCCCCTATACCATTTGATCTTTGTTTTATGTTTTAAAAAATATTTTATTTTTTATGTGTATGAGTATATTGCCTGCATATGTGTAAGTGCGCATACACTGTACGATGCCCTAGGTCAGAAGAGGGTGTCAGATCCCCTGGAACTGGAGTTACGAACAGTTGTTAGCTGCCATGTGGGTGCTGGGAACGAAACTTGGGTCATCTGCAAGAGCAATAAGTGCTCTTAACCACTGAGACATATCTCCAACCCTTTATGTATTTTTTAGACAGGGCCTCCTTATAACCTCAGCTGGCCTGGGACTCACTATGTAGACTAGACTGGCCTTGATCTCACAGCACCTGCCTCTTCTTCCCAAGTACTGGGATTAAATGTGTGTACCACAATGCCTGGTCCCTTTGGTCTCTTTTTGAGACGGATCTTACACTGAAACCACAGTAGTCCAGGCTGGCCTAGAATTCACTATGTAGCCCAGGCTGTCCTTGAACTCACAACAATCCTCATACCTCATTTCCCCAAGTGCTGAGATTACAGAGCTAAACTACCACACCAGGTCTAAGGTGTTTGGGTTTTGTTTTGTTTTTACACTCATTTATTTATTCCGTGTATCTATGTGTATGTCTATGTGGGGGAGGGGTGGCAAACCACAGCCCATGTGGACAACTTGCAGGACTTAGTTCTCTTCTTCCACTATGTGGGTCAGCAGAATTGAACTCAAGTCGTCAAGCTTGGCAGCAAGCACCTCCAGCTACTGAACCATGTCGCTGGCCCTAGTTTAACTCTTACAGTTCACTTCAGGATTGGTTTAAGGGAAGAGAGATAAATTTGTCTTTAAAATACAGGTAAACACCAAATCCCACCTCTTTGCAAGGCATTGCCCATTGAGATTGGGAAATTTCCATATTCATGGTTTCATTCAATCTCCCCACTTCATCTGCATTAAGGCATAGATTAGGGGCTTCTGATGAGTTCAGAGTATTTTCCTTGGGTAGAAATCTCTAGTCTTTATAATCTTTAGATTTCTTCTTGAGACCTGCTCTGACTGTCTCATGTGTTAAAGGCTTGGTGGTGAACCTATAACACTATTGGGAGGTGCAAGTGGAGCCGAGTGGAAGGAAGGAAGGTCATTAGAGGCATGCCGTGCTAGGGGACACCTGACCACTTGTGGTATCTCCCACTTTCTCTTTGCTTCACTGTGAGGTGAACAGCCCTCCTCTGCGTCCTGGACATTTTCCCCCAGCACTGACTCTGCAGGTCCCTGCTCTGATGCTACCACAGACCCTGAGGAAGAGGGTCAAGTGATCGGGGGCTGCAAGTTCTAAAAACATGAGCCAGAGTAAGTCCTCCTTCTAAGTTGGCTTATCTTGGTGTTTATCATAGGAACAGAAACCTGAGTAACAGAATTCCATTTGGAACAGAGTAAGACTGATTCTTTCCCACCAGACCTGTGCATGGCATGCAGGAGACAGAATCAGAGGGGAGCCACTCTGAGTTCCAGATCCTGTTCTTCCACAGTACAGAAACTCTGCTTTCAACTGAAAACAAGATCGTTCTAAATGTCAGCACTCTGCACCCCATCTGGGCTCCCAAACGCAAGCTGCCTTGTTTCTGAATCAGATGTCATTACCCACTGAAAAGTCTCCTGCATCCAACGTGACTAGCAGTGGGGTCCCAGCTTGGTGGAAAAAGCTCAAACATCTCCTCCAACAAAGCAGCCCTATGGTAATGGCATTTTTCTTCTGGAAAAGGAGGGGAATGGAGAGGGAATTGATGGCAGGAAAGAGCCATTTCTCCAGCAATTCTCTGACCCTCTGAAGGACAAACAGTGGAAATAAATACTAATGGCTCATTTATGGATTGGAACATTTACCCACATGAAGAATCCCAGAGTGTTGCCATTTTAGTGAGAGTCCCAGAAGGAATGAAGTGAAATAGCAGTGTATTAGTCTACAGGCTAGGACAGTGCTCGTCGCTAAGATCTAGAGTATGTGGTCTGAGGATGGCAACTCAGGGCAGGCAGAAGGCAGAGCTGCAGAGCCAGTGCCAAGTGAAATTGCTCAGCAGGTCCTGCAGAGGTCAGTCTTTGGGAAAAGCATCCAGATTCTTTTAAGGTATGTGGCTTCTCATTAGCCCCTACCACGAGCCTCCTTCCAGGAGTGTTGAAACAAAAGCATGGGGGGTGGGGACCTGGGGTGACGGCTCCGTGGATAAAGCACAGTGCAAACACGGAATCAGAACTGAGACTCTGTTACTTACATAAATGCTGAGTAGGCGTGCTGTCGCCTGTGATCCTAGTGTCTGGAAGGTAGAAACAGACCAAGTTGGCCTGCTACACTAGCCCTATTGGTGAGCTCTGAGCTCCGTTGAGAGACCCTGCCTCAATGATTAAGATGGAAAGTGATGGAGGGAGACTCCCTATTTAGTTTTGGGCCTCCATATGCACATACACACATCTATGCATGCACACCTGCATACACACATGCAGATACATACATACACATACACACATGCAGCCGTACACATGCATACACATACACATACACACAAGAGTGCGCACACAGCTTCAGGAAAGGGAAGCTTCAGGTACAGAGACATACAGGAAACTGCAGGCAAGAACTTCATAGCTATGAACAACCCATCACTTTGGGAAAGCAGATTATCAAAAGCAGTCTGCCTCATGAACTCCTGAGTTAAGTTGTATTTGTAAAATTGTTTGTGCAGTCTAAAAGATTTCAAAATATAGATTTCCATTCCCTCTAGTGTTCCCAGAGGAATAAGTCACAAGAAAACGCCTCTGCTAAGGACCAGATATTTGCTCTCACAACCTGAAATGATGCCCAAACACGGCTGTTGGGATTCTAACTGCTGACGCTTTCAGCAGAGGCGTCACACTAGGTAAAACGCCACATTCCAAGCGAGAAGACCTTTGAGAATCTATATTTTAAAAGACAGGAAAATATTTGTCTGTGTGTATATTTGTGTGTATGTGCCTGTGAATGTGTGCATTTGTATGTGCTTTATAAAACAGAAATGAAGAGCCTGGCGTGATAGGGTTCACCTTTGATCCCAGCACTTGGGAGGCAGAGGCAGGTGGATCTCTGTGAGATAAGAGGCCAGCCTGGTCTACATAGTGAGTTCCAGGCCAGCTGGGCAGGGAGACCCTGTCTCAAAAAGAAAAAGAAAAAAAACCACACAAAGAAAGAAAGAAAATTAAGGAGATAAGCGCCCTATCGTCTAGTTACAGGAGCATGGAGAGGTGGGTGTTTATTGAATGTTGACAACGTTAGATGCTTTACCTACGTTTTCCTCTCATTTCTCCCTCAACATAAGCTGGGAGGTGTAGACCGTTACTGTTTTCACTGTGAGGAAATGAGCCTCCCCAAGGTCAGACTGAAGTCACAGAGGGGGTAAACGTCAATCAGACTCACTCTACAACCCAATACTCCCTGCGTTGTGTGGCCTACCCAGGTTCCCACAGTCACCTTTGCTTCCCTTTCCGGGTCACATCTGGGACACCTTCTGACAAGGAAGTTTTTGTGGTTCGTGATCAAATGTTGCCGGGGGGCTAAGAGAAGAAAGGGTCTTGGATGAGGACGGAAACAACAGAGGCCCTGTACAGTGAACCTCATCACTAATCAGACTCTCATGCATGTGGATGTCCTTCCGCATCACATTTAGGAGGTTTTAGAGTACTAACATTACATTCTAAGCACAAACTAAAAGTCACCCGCATTCCACGTTTCTGTGCACAATTCCCCTCCGAGGGCCTCAGACCACGGTCTCGATGGAGATGGTGTTGGTGTGGTCCTCCTGACGTCTGGGCTGCATTTCGTCTTTGAAAGCCCTGGTCAGAACCACTTTCAAGGACTCCTTGAACCGCTTCTTCTTGCTACTGCCCACAAAGAAGTAGATGAAAGGATTGGCGCTGCTGTTGATGGTGGAGAAGAGCAGGGAAATGTGGTGCAGGTTCCCGAAGGCCGACCAGTACTCGTAGTAGAGCAGGTAGAGGACGCGCATGGGCATGGCGAAGATGAGGAAGATGATGATGGTGACCATGATAACGATGTACAGCTTCGAGGAGTGGGAAGCCCACGTGTTCTTCCGGATCTTCACTACCAAGATGGTGCTGGACACCAGCATGAGTGGCGTGAAGACTAGGAAACTCAGGATGGCTATAAAGATGATGACCGCTCGGCAGTCATTTTGAGAATGACTCTCTTCCCCGTTGTCGATGCACATGACATACTCCATGGTGGTCACTAAGCAAGAGAGCGCCCACAAGAGGGCACAGACAAATGCTGATTGGTGCTTGGGGCGGTGGCATCGGTACCAGATGGGATAGAGGACTGACAGGCACCTCTCCACACTGATGGCCGTCAGCAGATAGAGGCCTGTGTTGTAGCCAAACAGAAAAGTCACTGATAACGTGACAATGGTGTAGTAATGGCCGGAGGAGAGCTCATAATCTAAAGCATAGTCGATGGACAGAATAAAGATACAAAAGAGGAGCGAGATGTCGGCAATGGACAAGTGGGTGATGTAGACCGTGAAGGGATTTCTCCTCATCCGGAAGCACAGGAACCAGAGGAGGATCCCGTTCTCCACAAAGCCCAGTGGTGAGATGCTCATAATGACCCAGTGCACAATGGGAATGGGCGGGTGCAAGCTCCCCAGGGAGGCATTCCTGCTGGCCGAGGTGTTCATGGGTTCTTCCTTGGCTAGGGATGTCAAGTTTGACTCATCCATGAAGAGATCTCGGGCTGGGATGCTTCAGGTAATTTTCTGTGAATAAGTCAAATGAACAAAAACTGTGAAAACTGAAGCATTAAAATTGAAGAGATGCCTGGGGAGATGGCTCAGCTGGGAAAGCGTTCACATTGCAAACACAAGGACCTGAGCTGGATCCAGAAAACCCACGCTAAAAAAACAAAGTAGGCGTGGTGGCACATGCTTGTAATCCCTGCTGTGAGGCAGCAAAGACAGGGGCACTCCTGGGACTTGCTGGACAGCCAGCCTAGGCCACATGGCGAGTTCCAGTGATAGATCCTGCTTTAAAAAAAAGTTGGACAGCGCCTGGGGAACAAACACCCAAGGCTGACCTCTGGCTTCCAGATGTGCACACAACCATGTGCATGTGCATCTATATACATGTGAACATACACATATACACACGAAAAGAAATAAAATAGAGACATTTAAGCATGGATCTTAACCTTGAAATTGTGATTAGAGAGTTTAGGAGCTGGAGAGATGGCTCAGCAGTTAAGAGCACTTGCTGCTCTTGCAGAGGACCTCGGTTCAGTTCCCAGTATCATATGGCTGCTCACAACAGCCTGTAACTCCAGTTCCAGGGGATCCGACATCCTTTTCTGACTTCCATGGGCATTGCATGACATGGGTGCACTTACATACATGCAGGCAATACACTCATACACAGACAATAAAAATAATAAAATTTTTTTTAAAAAACTGGTGTGAAGCTGGGCATAGTGGCACAATGCCTTTAGTACCAGCACTTGGGAGGCAAAGGCAGGTGGATTGCTGTGAGTTGGAGGCCAGCCTTGACTACATAGTGAGTTCCAGGCCAGCTAGCTCCAGGAATACCCTGTTTCAAAAGCACCAAACCAAACCAAGCAAAAAACAAAAAAACCTGGAAACTAGACCTAAGCAGGATCCTTAAGAAAGTTAGGGACTAGAGAGGTGGCTCAGTGGTTAGGAGCACTGGCTGTTCTTGCGGAGGACCTGGATTCAATTCACAGTACCCACATGGAGAGTAACAACAGTCCGTAACCTCAGCTTCAGGGGAATCCAACGCCCTCTTCCTACCTCCTTGGGCACTTCATGACATAGGTACATTTACACACATGCAGGCAATACATTCATACACATAAAATTAAAATAATAAGTAAAATATTTTTTAAAAAGAAGGATGACAGGGCGCCCTGTCATCTCAGACAGTCTCACACCCTCAGGTCCTTCTTGACCTTGAGGACAGTCGTTCTAGGCTTTTTACTCCCGGAAGCGGGCTCTCCACCACTGTGTCTGCCTGCCTTCCTCATCATCATGTCCCCAAGCCCTACTCACTCATATACTGAAAAAGCGTGTCCCACACTTTCCTTTACAACCTGGTTTCTATTTCCATTCAACTTTCCTTTCTTTCCCCCATAAGCTTCTAAATAAATTTACAAAAATAGTTGAGAAAGCCATTTGACCATTTTAGGCCCAATTGCATCTGTCTTTTAAAACCAAACCAACCTAATTCAGTTTTATAGTTAGAGGTTCTCTTTCTGAAGATAGAACAGGCTTCCTCCATTCTTTCAAGATTGAATTGTAAGTCATTGTACCAAGTGTTAAAAGATATTGAAATAGCTCTCCTAGCCTGCACTACTATCCTCAGGCCTCTTGGGGTAAGTCTATAGCACAGCTCTCCTCACCGGGACTCCCTAAGCGACATTCACCCTTCCATACCCCACCTCACCTTTCTATACTCACTCTTTCTGAAGATAGAACAGGCTTCCTCCATTCTTTCAAGATTGAATTGTAAGTCATTGTACCAAGTGTTAAAAGATATTGAAATAGCTCTCCTAGCCTGCACTACTATCCTCAGGCCTCTTGGGGTAAGTCTATAGCGCAGCTCTCCGCGCCGGGACTCCCTAAGCGACATTCACCCTTCCATCCCCTGCCTCGCCATTCTATACTCCTAGTTTGGGCCCTGCGCCTTTCCTAGTCTTGGGGCCACAGACACCTGTGGAACCAATACTGCTTCCTGACCCTTCCCACCCAGAGAAACTCAGTCCCTTTCTTGGGCTCCAGGAGCACCACTTCTGGTCCTGGCCCCGCCCTCACCTCTCTCTGCTTCCCTGGGCCTGCACCACCGCCTAACTCTCCTAGCCTGCACTACTATCCTCAGGCCTCTTGGGGTTAGTCTATAGCGCAGCTCTCTGCGCCGGGACTCCCTAAGCGACATTCACCCTTCCATCCCCCGCCTCCCGTTCTATACTCCTAGTTTG